TTGAAAAGACGTCTATGGCCCGACGTTGAAAAGAGGTTGCAAATTGGTTCAAAAGTGAAAGTTGTTTCAACGTCTATTCGTAGACGTTGAAAAGACGTTTACGTTTAGACCACATTTCAACCAGCGAGCATTTCAACGTTGAAACAACGTTGAAAAGACGTCTATGGCCCGACGTTGAAAAGACGTTGCAAAATGGTTTAAAAGTGAAAGTTGTTTCAACGTCTATTCGTAGACGTTGAAACAACTTTCGCGTATAGACCCGTTTTCAACGTGATTTATAATATTGGTGGTAAACTTACAAATGTGGACGTAGTTTCTTTTTAAACATCTAAAATAATGATATAGCACACAAGAGAGGACGAAATATTACCGTATTAAAAAATCACGTTGAAATGTGGTCTAAACATAGACGTCTTTTCAACGTCTACGAATAGACGTTGAAACAACTTTCACTTTTAAACCATTTTGCAACGTCTTTTCAACGTCGGGCATAGACGTCTTTTAAACGTCTTTTCAACCAAAAAATGCTCACTGGGGAATGTCCAGTAATTCCACGGAAGAAAGCAGGAAAGTTGGAAGTAACTCCGCTGGAGTTGTTCCACGGATGTTCAAGAGCTCATCTCTGGTGAAAGAGCTCCGGGAATCGCAGCAGCAAACGTAATTAACAACAAAAACAACAAAAACGAAGCGCACCGAAGCACCGTGGCGGCCATCAACGGCGCCATCTTGAGTTATAAGATGAAAACTTAAGCTATGTATGCTTTGTTATATTCACTCATTGAGGCATAAAGCCAAATGTATCTACATTGAATGTGTTGGAATGTGAGGGACAGATAGGACAGAGAGGTTTAGGTTACAGCTGCAGCTTCACACCTCGATGTGAAGGGGAGAGTCCAGGAGGAGATACTTTGAAGGAGAAGCCAATGACATTCAAATGCACCAAAGAAGACACACCTCAGGAGTTTTCAAAGGACCAAAGCGGGGAAAGGACAAAATTTTCCTGCAGCCGCTGTGATAAGTCAGACTTGCTCAGAGAATTCTCTGTTTCGCGAAAGATTTTACTGTTCGCTTTGTATTTCACTGTGTAATTTTATTCCTTATTACGTTGTTTAGTCATTAAATACTTTTTGATTTTTGAATTTAAACAAATTGACACTTTTGTATCTTCGTTTCCGGCCGGGACGAGAACAAAGGACGAGAACAAAGGAGTCGGGCCTTCCTCGAGGGCTTTCCGAACCCTAACAAGAGACCTGCAGGAAGTTGTCTCCTTTCTTTCTTCCAGACCAGATGATTCTGGGCAGTCTTAAGGATAAACCTGGCACCACTGAACCCCCGTTTCTCCCCATGATCAATGCAAAACTGGTTCTACCTTATTGAGCTGCACCGATACAGGAACACAACTGAAGGTGCAGCAACACTCAGCACCTAATGCATGTTCTTTAAATGCTTCTACATTAGTCTTCTGGTACGGTGGCATGATCAACGTTGTTTCAGCTCCCTCATTATGAATGGCTGTCCTCAGCAAAAGGAACAATTTGTCCGCAGTATGAACATCTCTATCTATCTACAGCAGCTTTACAAAACTCCTTTCTTTTCAGTAAATTACTTTCAATTAAACCAGATCCATTGGCGGACTTGTGGGAAATTGATGTTGATCTTTATGAGCAAGCTTTACTCACCACCCGGTTTCTTTAATAAAACAAAATATCCTAAATTAGTTTCTTAACCCTTTTTCCTCCTCAGCACATAAAGCAGCCTCTAGGGCAGGGGTGGGCAATTATTTTTCCCAGGGGGCCAAATGAGAAACTGAAAATATTTTGGAGGGCCAGGCCAAAATGCCGAACTCAATTATGTATAATATACATTTTTTTCTATATTAAAAGCAGTAAATGGCATTGTTTTGACTGCTGGTAAGAGTGTATGTTATTATTTGGCAATTCAAAGGTGAGGTTAGCTTTCAAAAGTATAATTTATTCAAATATAATTTTCAAAATGTGAAACATTTGACTCATTTTCAGTCACATTAATAACAAAGGGCATTTTGAGTTTCATATACTAATGAAACAAGGATTTTCTTAGCTTTCTAAAGACATCACATCATCAGTCCCAGTCCCAGTTTCGTAGCCTTTTTGACTTTACATGCCTGTATTAAAACATTTTCAGAACTGTGCAAAAAAAGAATAGAAGCATATCAAGTGTCCCATTTCACTTGTTATATTCCCACATTTTTGTGTTCTTCAGTTCTTCTTTTTTCATTCAGTGTGAGAAATCCAGTCACTGTGGAGCTTTAACAAGTCCATCAAAGTCAGGTTGAATGTCTGAGGTGGAGATGCGAAGCACAGCTGACAGATGTACAGCAGTGAGAGAGGATCTGTACCTGGATTTGGTAAACTTCATGACTGAGAATGTCTGTTCACATATGTAGGTGGATCCACAGAGAATCAACATCTTCTGAGCACGTCTCCTCGTGTTTGGAAAGTTCTCCTCCTTGAGAGCAGAGTAGAACTCTGGCAGTGATGCTGACTTAAAGTGCTCTTTCAGTAGTGAATCAGACTGCAGGTCAGTGAGTGGGTGCACTATCAACACTGCAGGTAAAGGGAGAGAAAACCAGCTGCATTTCATCCTCAACCTTTTTGAAATCTTGAAAACGCCTTGAAAATTCATCATGCAGTGCTCCTAACATGGATGAGTACCTGTGCCGGTGATCAGATGATGGTTTGACTTCTTTCAGGGTTTTCATGTGTTTGAGATTGTTGCTGCCTAGTTGCCTTGAAATGAATTGCAACTTTGTCATGAAGGCTTTCACATGGATTTCATGAGCAAAAAGGCCCTCGGCCTGCAGCTGTGTGTTCAGTTCATTCATCACTGCAGTCACATTAACAGCAAATGTTCAATCTGCCATCCAGTCCTTATCAGACAGCTCTGGGATGGTTTTGTCTTTCATCTCACAAAACTCTTTTATCTCTGATTTCAGAACTCAAAACCTTTTTAGCATTTTGCCCAGACTGAGCCATGTGACATCTGTGTGGTACCGGACATCACCATGTTCGCTCTCTTGCTCCTACAATAGTGAAACAAACTGCCTGTGATTCAATGCTCGCGCTCCGATGAAATTAACTGTTGTAGTAACAACATCAACCACATGCCTAAGTTTAAGCACTGACTTAGACAACGCTTGCTGATAAATAACACAATGTATGAACACCAATTTCTGCTCTGCGGTGAGTTCACTCACTTTATCTTGCATTCTTTTCAAAAGCCCAACATCCTTCCCAGTCAAATTTGGACATCCATCCGTGGTGACCCCTGCCAGTCTGTCCCATTGGAGTCCCGGTTTGTCCATGCATGCGTTTACCTCGGTGAACAGATCACTCCCCGTTGTGGTTCCTTTCATTGCCCGCATTGCTGCCAGCTCTTCCGTAAGCTTGAAGTCGCTCGTCGTCCACCGGGGAGATATGAGCAGCTGGGCCGTGTGACGGACGTCACAGCTCTCATCCAAAGCTTCACACTGCACCTTGCAGCTGAAACTCCAGATTCTTCGCGATGTCCTCCACCCTTCTCGTCACGGTGTGGCGGGACAGCGGGATGTTTCAAACGCTTCTTTTTTCTCTGGGCAGCAGCACTGCAGACTTGACCACGCACTCTTTCACAAACTGCCCCTCAGAGAATGGCTTAGTGTTCTAGGCGATTTTGTGGGCCATCACAAAGCTGGTTCTGGTCGCTGCATCTCTGGCTGCAGCTTTGTAAAACAGCCGTGTTGTTTTTCTAGCTTTGCTAGTAAATCCGTTGATCCGCGCTCGTTTGGCATCAGTTGTTGTATTTATCGCCATGTTTGGTCTCGTAAAGCCGTTTCAAATTGTACTCTTTAAACACGCCGACATGCTCCCCACAAACGAAACACACAGGTTTACCTTTGACTTCAGTAAAGAAAGAAATAGTAGTCCATTTTTGTTTGAAACAGAAGGTAGAGAGTTCAGGGGTGACCCGGAGGGAAGACAGGTTGTCAATCACACGTATTTCACGCGCACAGTTGACGTGCACGATTGCGTGCATCGTGAGAATAAATGGGCTTCAAAATAAAAGCAATGCGGTTTTAGTTAGAAAATGTTTTTTTTTCTAAATCATGTAGTCTTTCCCGGACCGGTCAGAATCATCCCGCGGGTCGTACAATGCCCAGGTCTGCTCTAGGGGGAACCACCACATGATTTGCTGTCATATTGCTGCTCGTCACAGCATCCAGACTCAGACCTGGGGTCACAGCTGATTGATGCAGGTCTGGAGAACAGAGCCAACACCAGAGAGAAGCAGCAGGCATGATACTGAAATAGGACATCCAGTCGTCTGAGAGTGTCTTGTTTGGTGTCTTGTTAGTGTCCCTGTGGCGTCGGGCCAAAGCAGAATCAAAAAAAAAAATGACTGAAGGGGTGGGATCGACAAACAGCCACCAACACTTTAATTCTTTTATCAGACCAGACACTAGCTGCATAATAAACACGCAGAGACTACAAATAAATACATTCTTGGACACGCAGGATTTCATTGCCTAATGGAGGTCTGATTTTTGTGGAGCATGCTTTTATTCCTGTAAAGTAGACACAACCGGATTTCCGCATTTCTCTTCTACAGTTTGACCAGAGGCTTGAGTGCAATGCGAAAACCGTCCGAGACTGAAGTTGCCACAAAAAGTGGAAATAAAAACCACAAACCTCACTTGACCGTCTCGAGAAAGCCAATTAAACTGACCATCAACCGGCTTTCTGTTGCCGTGTACACTTTTTCACCCCTGTTCTCCCCCCCAAAGTGGCCCTGTATGTAAGTTATACAAGTGCCAGTAGCACTCTGCTCCTCAATGAGTTCCAATGAAAGGGCACAAAGCTCTCCCTGGCGAGCGCACTCGTAAAACCGTCACACAGGCCTCTAAATCAGCAGGCCGGGCTCACTGTTCACAGAACTGTTTGGTCACCGGCCTCAGATCTCGGAGGACACTTTGAGTCTCTTACCTTCCAGCAGGTCTCTTGCCAGACCCGGTTCTGCCCCCGTGGACCGAACAAAGTCTGACAGGACCACGTCCATGTCCAGAGTCATGTGATCATGTGTGTGCACTGCCCAAGGTGCAGCGGTGGCCTTGGTGGACGCCAGCCTTCACGTTGTCATCTGGAAAAAGACACCATTTTGCAGTAAATCCATTTCTTAAAGTGAAGCACTTTTAAAAACCCGCCACTTCCTGAAAACCCCTGTGAGAAAACAGAGACCGGGCGGCCCCCCTCTCACTTATTCTTATCCCAGCCGGCTGTCTTGGCTCATTCGTACAGATGTGTAATGCTTTGAGCTGGAAGTACAGCGATCTGCTCCACCAGAACTCCACCCAGCTCTCGCTAACAGTCATAACACAATATCCAACAGCACCGTGTAACATCAACAGTACGACCAGAGATGCGGACACACCTGCTTATCTCCAAAGCTTCTGGCCCACCGCCCACGACTCAAAACAACCCAAACCCTCTTCCTGCCTCTGGGTGCCTTACAGGGCTTTTGTGGTCTGAGCCGGTACCTCAAACCACGCGAGCTGGATAGCGAGGGCCGATGCCAAGCAACGGTTTGGGGAGCGACTCAGCGTGATGTTGTTTGGTATGGCCGTAGCCAGAGAACAGGTCAACACCAAGACTCTAATGATCAACAAGCGTTCTTTTGTTAGATCCTAAATGCCACTTCTGGGATGCACAAGTGTTGCCGCCCTCGGGCCCCCGTGGGACCAACGCGTCCGGGCATAGCGGTCCGGAAGAGGAACGGCGTTCAGAGCGCCCGTCAGCGACAAAACAAACACCCACGGGTCCGGGGCTCGGGCGCCAGGCCCGCGGTGACCTCAAGCGGAGGGAGAGCGTGCATGTCGGCCTTCTGGGACTCGGCCCACATCGCTGAGCACAGCTCCAGCTACTGGGGCGCCCGCGGGACGTCTCTCTCAGCTTTATCGTCACGTGACAATGAAAAGCTTTAAAAAACAGAGCCGAGCACCGCTTCATTATTATAGAAAACATCTTTGTTCAGAACCGGCAACTTTAGTCGTTATCATACGCATCATTGATGAGTCAAAGCCGTAGTTGAGCCGACGTACTTTCAGCCGGCTGCCTTGCATGGCATTTGCTGGAGCGGTCACAACCAAAGGTTTGTCATTGATGATGAGATTCTGTTATCAGATCAAAGGTGACCTCTAATGTCTGGCTGGACGAGAAGATAGTTTTCTCTTTATGGACACTTCTTTGCTAGAAATCAACTGAATGTTTATGATAACAGCATTTTAGACACTTCTAAAAAGGAATGTCAGGAGATAAAGAGACAACATATGTGCACATAATTACACTCTAAAAGGTCAACCGGTACCTCAGTAAAGAATAATTAGCTGCTCATCAGGTGAGAATCACACTATTGATTTGCAGGGACTTGCAAGTGTAGTGCCGGGAAGCGAGTCACAGGAACAGCTGAATATTATAAGTCATAACTTTCAGCCTCAGCCGTGACTCTCAGTCCAAAGCCAACATGCTGCAATTGAATGTAAATCATTAGAAAAATTGTCTCAATCATTTAGTTAGTAATAATTTATATAAAATAAAAAAGGCAACATCATTCTCTGAAACAACTGGGCTTGTCTGAAAAAGCAGGAGTAAACAGGGATTAAGTGGATTAAGACACATTTGGTGAGCTAGTTGACTGTCTTCATGGCTTCAGGTGCATTGATAAAATTTAACCTCCTTTTACTCAAGTACACAGGTACTTTGTGTAGTACTCCTTGTATAGGGTCGTCATGGCGCAGGGGTTGAGAAGGTGTGCTGGGAAGCACAAGGTTGGTGGTTTGAGTCCCGACTGCCCATCTCTCAAATTGAAGTGTCTATGAGCAAGACACCTAACCCCTAATTGCTCCCTGGGCAAAAATGTAAAAGCCATGAGTTTAAAGTGTAATGTAATTCGCTTTGGATAAAAGTGTCTGCTAAATGACCTGTAATGTATAGTACTCGAGTGGACCACATTTATTTGGCAACTGCACTTATTCCCCTCATTAGGTTTTGAAAAAAAAAAGTGTTAAAGTTTATAAAAGATGACAAATGAAACAGGATAATGTGGTTGAAATGACATGGGGTGTTAAACCTTCAGTGTACTTCCCTGATAATACTTTTGTACTTAGTATTATAGTAGTATAAAAGTTATACAATTTCCAACAGAAGAGTGTTCCATCTTAATAAAAGGAACATGTTACCTAGTGCAGCAGTCACAGATGTATAAATAAATAATTTCACACAGAGACAGCCCACGATAAAAGGATGAAGTCATTGTTGGTTTTCTTTGGTCTTTTCGTTTGTTGTTATACAAAACCGTATCAAATATCTCCATCCTCATTCATTGTGTTATTTAGCAGCTGTCTGTGACAACGCGCAGCACTGTGACTGAACCTCGGTCTGCCGGTTATGACACGTACGTTCTGTGTTTTTGCTGAGGGTTGTTGAAAAGCCATCTGCTGTCCGTGGGACTGTCAGGACCAGACGCAGCGCTAGTCCATGGCTCCAAGGGGCAGCGCCGGACAGGAAGACAGCGGCGAGGCAGAGGACCCTGAAACACACACATACACATTGAGAGTTATCACACTGAAAGTTATGGCCCCAAGTTCTGATCGACAGAGCTCTATTTGACACACACACGAACACACACACACACACACACACACACACCTGATGTGTTAAAATACAAATCCCAAAACACCCCTGGAGCTGTTACTTTCATCATGTGCCATTTAGAAACTACTTAGTTGACTGACTATTCACGAGTAGAGCACTTGAACAGGCAATGTTTGATCATCGACCTATTTACTACAATGCAGAATGACATCATGTCATGCTTGTTTAAATCTGCCTTGTGATGTGTGTAACTACAGCAGTCAACAGCCCCGTAAAGCTGCCTAAAGGTCTTCTTCATAAGCATTTCCTTAAACAGCCTGGCGTTGATGTTTGTGGGACACTGACGCGGTGAAGAAAAAAGCAGCGCCAGCTGAAAGAGCTCGCGATCTCTGCTTTTACCTCGATGGGTCGCAAGAAACACGCTGATGATGGTGATGATCGCGCACGAGGCAGCGGGCGGAGAGATGAGAGTGTCAGCTTGTGGAGGCGAACCCCTAACAACAGAGCGAGAGCAGCCACGGCGAGCGACAGAGGACGCTCTACCGCTGCCGCCGCCTTCCTTCGGTTGTTGAGGAGTCGGCGTCGAAGCCCTCCTAAGTGGGACTGAAATATTCTTCAGTGCCATGCATAAACCCTAACCCTAACCCTAACCCTATCACTAGTTTAAGCGTTGCTGCTTGGCCAACGTAGTGGTGATGCCTATTACAAATTCAAGTAGCATGGCTGCACGGCACGAGAGTATTTTACCCAAGCAGAACTCACTGGTGTCCTGAAGAAAAAGTCTGATTACTTGAAATGAAAAAAGTCTAAATGAAAGGTCCATGCAAGCTTAAAAGTTCTAATTACATCCCTTATGGTAGACACTGCAAATAGACATTGTAGTTCATTGTATTTATCAAAGACTATTCTACACTGCATTCAAAATATCAATCAATGCTTTAGATTAAACTAATAATCATTCTGTACTGACGAAGTCCTAAACGAAGTCTAGTACTGGTTGCTAATATGGTGGATTAGTTTAGACGTGCGCCCGGTGCGCTCGAACACAGCAAAACGGAGAGTTCTCTGATGTTAAATTACCTTGCATGTTTATTTTACATCCAAATATTATAAAACGGCAAAACTTTAACTGATAATACATGTACCCAAATAACAAACCGCATTGCTCACCACAAAGGCACACACGCACACTGGCACAGTCGAAAACTGTTTGCTTCCCAAATTAGTAACACCTGTGTCTTAGATTCCTGCAGGTTAAATGGCCTACCTGGGCTGATCCGAGGTCAGCTGAGCCACAAAGCACATACAGCCCCCTAGTGGCATAGAGCAAAATTAAATGAAATAATACCAAATGTATATGGCTCGTACACATTCACTAACATAATTATATTGCACTGACACGGGCTATTGCAGAAACACATTTTTTCTCCAATACCTCTGTAAATTTACTCACGTTTTTATGGTGCTCAATTACAATTGAGCTGCATTACAATATCGGGCGTATTAGCAACTTGGAAGAGCCAAGTTGTTCAGTCTCCTGACTTTATTCACAGCAGCACTAAAAACACACTGCGTGTGTCTATGGTCCACTCCAAATGTATACAAGGGCCCGTAGACAGTAAAAGACAGACAAAAGACTGACTGCCCCATGGTCCATCGAATGGTCCTGTAGAGTGTGACAGGACATGAATGAAACACCCACTTAATACGTCTCAGCTCAAATACATTTTCCCCCCACAAACAACAGCTGTAATGTGGATGCAAGCATGAAAGCTGGGCCTACTGTAATAAATGAGTCCCCCGTAGAGCCGTCGCAAGCGTCCTGCTGAGAGCCGTACATTGCTGATGGTTGGAAATTTAAAATGTAGAATCTTTGTTTTGTGTAAACAACTATTACCACTTTACTAAATCAACCATTAGCACCCATCTATCACGCCTTTCCACCACCACAAGACGAATGAAGCCACCTCTGTAAATTCTGCTGGCGGGTGTTTACATTTTAACCTTCTCTCAACGATCTGTCGTGAACTTGGGCAACAATAAAAAAATGCCTACTGATAATCAAAAGTTATTTTCATGGGCTTAGTTGGGGGTTTGCTGTCTAGTCTTGATTTAAGAATTAGGTAAAGGGGGGTAAGCAGGATCTGCCAAGCAGGCAGACACGAGTCTGACAGGATGGGGAGTCAGTTTATGTCCTGGCTGAGGAATGTAAGGTCTGCGGGTCAACTAGAAGATTTACCAGCCAAAGGGGGGTTAGAGACACACCAACACTATTCAACATACACACTCTGTTTACGATGTTTACGTTAAGTCAGGAGTCTGGACATTGGATGTGACCGGATCTTAGATGCGGGAGGTGGAAGGTCCTCCTCTACGCCAGTTTAGGGCCAATAGAAATCTTTCCTTCTCTGTCTTTCAAGGGTTATAAAACATGATGTTCTTGCTGATGTTAGTTAGTTGTTCTTCCGGCCTGTGTGCTGCCTGAACTGGTCCTGCCTTTGCAAACGCAGCGCTGATACTTGACCTGTGATCTGACAAATAAATTTCCCAGAACGAGAGAAGTCATTCGGCTGAATTTTTGATAACCCCGACCAGGCTCCAAATCTTGAACACGTATTCTTACAATTTGGTGACCCGACGTGATTTGCTGACCTGGACAAAGAAAGACGGGGACGTCCGTTTTCCGGACCGAGCTGAAAGGACCGGCGGCGTGGTTCAGCATTGACAACAGGCGCGCAAAACAGAATCAGGTGAGCAGACAACCTTTTGTTCTAAATGAATAAAATGTCTGTGATTGGATACTTCTAAAAAGATTTGTTGTCCACTGCAGAATTCGTCTCTGTCCATTGACTGAATAAGGTCGTTATAAGACCATTAAATTTAAAACTAAATTTGAAAATTTCCTGTTGATCACATGTAAAGTATAAGCACATACTCACACTGAATTCAACGTTAGGGAAAGTGAATAAGTGTCCATAGGTTTAGGGATTTAGGTAAAAATATATATACTCTTAGTCGGTAGAAATCCAAGTTGCAATCCGTGTGGTACGTAGATACCTCTGGTAACTGCAGTCACACGTTTGCATGCAGTGGACTGGCAGTTTAGAATAGTGTAGGGGTTTAGGTTTAGGGACTTAGGTAAATATATGAAGAGTTTAAAAAGGAACGACGGGGCTCACTTGAGTTCCCTGAGGTCGACTCTTAGTCTGTAGAAATCCAAGTTGCAATCCGTGTGGTACGTAGATACCTCTGGTAACTGCAGTCCCACGTTTGCATGCAGTGGACTGGCAGTTTAGAACAGTGTAGGGGTTTAGGTTTAGGTTTAGGGACTTAGGTAAATATATGAAGAGTTTAAAAAGGAACGACGGGGCTCACTTGAGTTCCCTGAGGTCGACTCTTAGTCTGTAGAAATCCAAGTTGCAATCCGTGTGGTACGTAGATACCTCTGGTGACTGGGGTCCCACGTTTGCATGTCGTGGACTGGCAGTTTAGAATAGAGCAGGGATTTATGTTAATCTTAGTCTGTAGAAATCCAAATTGCAATCCGTGTGGTACGTAGATACCTCTGGTCCTGTAGTCCTACTCGTGTGATTCTTGGACTGGCAGGTTAGAATATTAGATGAAGAAATAAGGACACAGGGAAAGATTTGTTGTTTTTCATACTGGGAAATGTGTGGGTGGTTGGTGTAACTCCTGGTGTTTTACCGAACCCGGAAGCTGGGCGTATCAGGACTTGAAAAAGGACTGAGAATCCGACAGTGAAAAGTGTTTGACCGGATTACACATCTGTGGGGATATGTATTAAAGGGTAAAAGGGAAAATCATAGTTAAATGATGGTGGTATAAATACGAGAGAAATAAAACAATACGAGTGAACTGGTGTTATAAGCCTCAACAATCGAGCGCTGTTTTCCTCTAATACAGTAGAAGGTTCTTGATTGGGTTCACAGTATTGGGCATTGAGTCCTTTCTCTTGTGTTCAAAAACCACGTGTGAATAAATAAATAACCTGTGATGAAAATGGAGGAAACCATAACGATATGGGAGAGGTGTAAAGAAGGCACTCTGGGTTTCGCCCTGTTTAAGACTTATAAGAGACATATGGATAAAACCCTAGAAAAAGATAGGAAATGTGTAACAAAAAAATATGTGAAGTGGGTTGCACAGATGCAGGAAAGAGGAATGTTTGGAAGGGAGACAGATTCTCAACCAACAGGCGAGCAGCTGCAGGACCATCTTAGGATGGCGAGAAGAGGAAAAGACCAAGCGCATGCGCTCCTTGCTGTTAAGGGGAGATTTTGTGGAAAAGAGAAGAAAAGTGCAGAAACGGCAGATGAGTTCTTAGTGGACTGTAGAACATTTCTGGGAGAAATAAATGCGGTATTCGTGAGTAAGACGGCAATGCAGTTGCCGCAAACCAAAGCAGGAGAAGAGAAAGTGCATGAGACCGGTTGTAAATCTAGTGCGCCTCCTCCCTACTCGACAGGCCCATATGCGGAGGCTAATCGGTTGTTAAATGAACCACATCAGATGCCACTGAGGCAAGGGAAAGCTACTAATTCAGGAGAATCTCAGGTTTTGGTAGTTCAAAAAGGGTTGTTACAGGTAACCGCATATCCACATGAAGAGAATGATGGGGTGGAGAAGGTTTCTGCTTTTCTCTCAGAGACGGTACAATATTTGGAGGACAGGCCCCAGCCGGAGCCTGTCGATTGGAGTAATCCTAACACAACACAGGGTCACTCGACAGTCGTAAAGAAGCGGCAACCCGAGCACAGACCTATGACCTCATTTAATGTAGGGGGAGGAAGAGTTGCAGGAGAAGAGACTTTGTTAGAAGTCATAGCCCAGGCAGAGCGGCAATCAATCACCCGGCGTGGACAGGATGAGCGGGGGAGGCAGGTTGAGTCAGAGGAAGATGAGCCTGTCCCTGCA